CGTTCTCTTTTATGGTTCAAAACGTACTGCTGACCTTGGGTTTGTTTTCATTTTTTTTCCTGTTAGGATTATTTGGGGATTTTTGGTAGTTTAAGCCCTTTAACCTTTTCCTTGCTGTGTATGAGGAAAGCTAAAGCTGTTATCAACTTCTTCTACGGATACTAACACGGGTTTTCAGTGTTTGTTTGTTTTTATTATATTAATTTTGCGTGATGTGAATACCCTCTCCCATCAATCCTTGTATTATGGTGCTATATATTTGGTAATGATCCTTTACTATTGGGAAGGGATTTTAAAAATACTGTGATGAAACTGGGTTTGCTTCCTTTGACTTTCATATTTTAAATAAAGCCACAGTCATTTATACAAAAGAAAAGCATCTGTCCCTGGGCAAACCTTTTGAGGACAGAGGTCAAAGTAAACTGCATAAGGTTTTTACATCATTTCTGTATGTATTTGATATCTAGATCAATATCTGTACAAATTTAATCTTTTATTTTCTTGGTAACTCGTGATCATTGAGAAAGTATTTGAGACTTTCTCACGAAGTGTATATATAATGGCGTGAAAAATTCCTTCGGAGAAATTTATGTTCCTTTCATTTTTACCAAACTGCAAATTTTCAGCATGGATGTGAAAAGCATTAAAATTATAACTTTGTGTACAAGATGAAAATAATTCACTAAATTTGCCCTTTTTTTACACAAAATAAAACGTTAAAGTTAAGTCGTATCGGAGCAATTCTTTAATACGCTTTGGTCTTCGAGGGGTTTCCTTTTTTATTCAAAATCCCAAGTGCCTTCTGTAAGCAATCGTGTGTCCTGGAGAAAGTGGGGGTGGGGGGGGTCCTTCCTCACCAAACCTGTGACCTGATAAGGGGAAAGCGAGCACAGGTGTAAGGAAAAGTTTACCCCTGGCTGACGAGAGAGGAACAGTATTTGGGGCCTGTGTGGACGTGGCTGCGTCTGAGGCAGGATTTCCCAGGTAAATGGCAAGGCTTACAGCACAGGCAGGTGAGACCATGGACCACTGGTGGGAGAGCCCATCACTGTAACTAGAACATAGTGGTTCAGTGTTGGCGTGCTGGTGGGGGCGGTGGGGGCAGGATGGGGGGCGCTTTTCTTTAAGCTCCATTAACTTCAACAGCAGACAGGATTCATGGGATGTAAACGGTCCCAGCTGGCTCTTACTGTCTCTGTGAAGAGGAAATGCAAGACACACTCCCTTACCAACAACTAACTCATTAGGAGTTATTCAACTCCTAAAGTTATTCAACTTTTCCTAAAAGAGCAGTTTGTAGAGAATTTTATGGATGTAAGATAATAGATGGATTGGGTCTTCTGGGGTTAATTTCATCATCACACTTTAGAGAAATAGAAAACACTGCCAGAAAAATATAGAACCTAATTTCTGCCCTGCTTTCCTTCCTTAAATGGCTTGAACGGTCGCCTAGTACGTTGCAATTCCCAGCTTGGTTCTCATTTACGGTCCCATGAGCTTTGAGATACACATATTATTCTTTAAACCATCACATGCCTCTTGGGAAAACTAGTTTCCTGTGTGCTTAATGCCCAACATATGCTTGAAGAGTACCGAGTGTTTCCCCCAAACAAGTAACTTTACTCCTGTGGTGGTTATCCAGCCTCGTGTGATCAGGGGACAACAGTAAAGGATTTCCTCTTGCAGGCTGTTACTGGGGCTAGGGCTACCCATTTTGGCCTGTTAAAAATTCTAAGCCTCACAAGCAGGCCAAAAAAGGGCTATGTAAAAATAACTATGTAAAAAGTAATGCATTTTTTAAAGATTTTATTCAATTATTAGAGGAGGTGGAGAGAAGGAGGAGAGGGAGATAGATAAGCAGACTCCACCCTAAGCACAGGGCCTGGAGGCAGACATGGCTCAGTCCCACAGCCCTAAGCTGACGACCTGAGCTAAAATCAAGAGTGGATGCCCAACTAACTGAGCCACTCAAGCACCCCAACGGTAATACATTTTAATTTTTTTAAGATTTATTATTTATTTGAGGGACACCTGGGTGGCTCACCTGCCTTCAGCCCAGGGCGTGATCCTGGAGTCCAGTCTCTCTCTCTCTCTCTCATGAATAAATAAAATAAATAAATTAAATAAATAAAATCTTCTAAAAAGTTTATTTTTTTAATTTATTTATGATAGTCACAGAGAGAGAGAGGCAGAGACACAGGCAGAGGGAGAACCAGGCTCCTTGCACGGGGAGCCCAACATGGGATTTGATCCTGGGTCTCCAGGATCACGCCCTGGGCCAAAGGCAGGCGCTAAACCACTGCGCCACCCAGGGATCCCAATTTTTTTAATTTTTAAAAAATATTTATTTATTCATCAGAGACAGAGAGAGAGGCAGAGACACAGGCAGAAGGAGAAGCAGGCTCCATGCTGGGAGCCCGATGTGGGACTCAATCCCGGACTCCAGGATCATGCCCTGGGCTGAAGGCAGACTCCCTCAACCACTGAGCCTCCTACACGTCCCTAAGAAAAAATTTTTTAAGATTTTTTTATTTATTTGAAAGAGAAAAATCGAGCAGGGCTGTGGGGAGATGGGGAGCAGAGAGAGAAAAAGAAGCAGACTCCCTGCTGAACAGGGAGCCAGCCATGGGGCTCAATCCCAAGATGTTGGGATCTTGACCTGAGCTGAAAGCAGATGCTTAACTGACTGAGCCACCCAGGCACCCCAAGTAATGCATTTTAAAGAAGAAATACAGGGCAGCCCAGGTGGCTCAGCGGTTTAGCGCCACTTTCAGCCGAGGGCCTGATCCTGGAGATCTGGGATTGAGTCTCATGTCCAGCTCACTGCATGGAGCCTGCTTCTCCCTCTGCCTGTGTCTCTGCCTCTCTCTCTCTCTCTCTCATGAATAAATAAATAAAATCTTTTTTTTTTAATAAAAAAAAATACAGGGACACCTGGGTGGCTCAGCAGGATCCGCTCAAGATGTGATCCTGGAGTTCTGGGATCAAGTTCCACATCGGGCTCCTGCTTGGAGCCTGCTTCTCCTCCCTCTGCCTATGTCTCTGCCTCTCTCTCTCTGTCTCTCATGAATAAATAAAACCTTAAAAAAAAAAAAAAGAAAAATACAAATGGCCATTAGGCACATGAAAATATGGGCTCATCATCCCTTATCATCAGAGAAATACAAATCAAAACTACAATGAGGTATCACCTAACACCTGTCAGAATGGCTAAAATTAAAAACACAAGTATTGGTGAGGATGTAGAGAAAAAGGAATCCTCTTGCACTGCTGGGATTGCACACTGGTGCAGCCACTCTGAAAAACAGTATGGAAGTTTCTCAAAAAGTTAAAAATAGAAGTACCCTAGGGCAGACCCAGTGGCACAGTGGTTTAGCGCCTGCCTTCAGCCCAGGGTGTGATCCTGGAGACCCAGGATTGAGTCCCATGTCAGGCTCCCTGCATGGAGCCTGCTTCTCTCTCTGCCTCTCTCTCTCTCTCTCTCTCTCTCGAATAAATAAAATTCTTTTAAAAATAGAAGTACCCTACATCCAGTAATTGCATTACTGGGTATTTATCCATAGAATACAAAAACACTAAGGCAAAAGGATTCTTGCATCCTTGTATTCATTTGCAGCATTATTTACAACAGCCAAATGATGGTAGCAGCCCGTGTCCATCAGTAGATGAATGGATAAGATGTAGTGGGTGGATAGATACATATGGAGGACTATTTAGCTATAAAAATAAAAAAGAGTGAAACCTTGCCATTTGGAACAACATGGATGGAGCTAAAGTATAATGCTAGGTGAAGTTGGAGAAAGATAACTACCACATGATTTTACCTTCTCTGTGAAATTTAAAAAGCAAATGAGCAAAGGGGAAAATAGAAACCAAGAAACAGTCTCTTAATTATAGAGAACTGGCAGTTACTAGAGGGGAGGTGGGGAGGATTAAAGAGTATTTACCATGATGAAAAAAAATAATTAAATGAGAAAGTAATGCATTTTATTTTTTTTTTTTTTAGCGAGAGAATTGAGGTGTGCAGGGGTCAGGGGGCAGAATGAGATAGAGAATGACAAGCAAGCTCCATGCCCAGCCCGGATCCCCACACAGGGCTCAATCTCACAGCCCTGAGACGGTGACCTGAGCTGCAACCAAGAGTCAGACACTTGACTGACTGAGCCACCCAGGGTGCCCATAGTCTCCAAATTCCAAACCAGACTCCAAGGGACACCTGGGTGGCTCAGTGGTTGTCTCAGGCTGTGATCCCAGGATCCAGGATCAAGTCCTGCCATCAGGCTCCCTGCAGGGAACCTGCCTCTCTCTCTGGGTCTCATGAATAAATGAATATTTTTAAAAATTAAAAAAACCGACTGCAGGTGATCGTGATCATTTAAACTGATGGGTGCTATTTGGTATTATCTTACAACCGTGCCATTCTAGTGAAATTAACCTTAAAAGCAGGCAGTAAGAATTTTGTAACCATTGCATGTAGCCCAGAAAACAGGCATGATAAATATCTCACCCTAGGGAAGAGTGAGTAGTGGAATAAGGTTTCAGGGAACAGGGGTCCGAGGGGCTAGGCACTAGATCCGTTCTTTCTTTTAAACCTGCTTTGCAGGGGTATATCCTCATTTTACAGATGTCTTTAGGCTTCCATTTCATCACTTGCCCAGTCGTCAGTCAACAAAAATGTGAATCTGGACAACTTGACTGTTCTGTGTTTCCCTTGAATTTCAACAAACTCTTTGTACAGAAATACACATTTCTAATTCCTCTAGGGAGATGGAGTATTTATTTTCATTACTTCCTTTTTAGTTTAGACACACAGTGCCATACTTGTCCTCTTCAGCCTCTCTACTTGACCACCTAGAGTCTAAAAGTACACTCTGGTGCTGAGAAGGGTCACATCATTCGTCCATGGTAAGCGGGATGATTTAGTTCTGTATAATGCTACGAAAGCCCAGGAAGGAAGTCACTTCTTCCAGGGTAGAATCAAGCAAGCACAGTAGACTACACCAGTTTCCAAAGGCTTTATTGGTTAAGTACGTTTTAGAAAAGAAAGATTGATTCTATTACTTCCAAGTCACTGGAATGAAGAGCTATGTCCAGGGACATATAAAGTGGTGCCAAAGGGAACTAATGCTGTGTCCATCTTTTATTCATAAATCCAGTCAAAAGCACAGGACTTGTAGTCAACCAACTCTTCAGGCTTAAACCATAGGCTGATTTCTTTCTCTGCACTTTTTACTGAATCACTACCATGAATGATGTTCCTAAGAAAGAGGACAATTATTAGTTACCATATATTTTGTTTTAAAGTAGGCTTCACATGCAGCTTGGAGCCCAACGTGGGGCTTCAACTCATGCCCCTGAGATCAAGACCTGAGCTGAGACCTACTGAGCCACCCAGGTGCCCCAAGTCACCACATTTTAAGTGCAAAAGTCTGTTTATGGCTAAGGCAAAGGATAGTCACTGCAGACCTTTTCAGCCAAATTGCCATATGAAGCAAGAGACTACCCCCAAAGTATTTCCTCTTAAAAGAAACTACAAATATAGAAGGAGGGTTGGGGGGCTCAGGCAGTGAGTGTCTGACTCCTGATTCTGGCTCAGGTCATGATCTCGGGGTCACGAGATGGAGCCCTGTGTGGGGCTTGGCACTCATTGAGGAGTCTGTTTAGGAGTTTCTCCCTCTGTCCCTCCCCCAACCAACTCCCCATTCCCTGCACACATGCTTATTCTCTCTTCACAACAAAACAAAACCTGCAACTATAAAATAATAGATTTTTTTTGATCAAAAGTATTCCCTAGCTCAACTTTATTATATTCCCAAGTTTCCAAAACAAAGCTTGTACCCCAAGACTATGTCACAAACAACTACTTCTCGAATTTTGAAAATAGGGATAACCAGACCAATATCCAAACTACACGAGGTACATTCATTATCAAGGGCCATTTCTGCAGCATTTTCTTATTAACACTCATTTGCAAAGCCAACCAAAACATTCACATTCACTGACAATCCCTTTATTCCATTTAGATCTTTATACAGAGTTTTTGTAGATTTCATATAGTGAGGGAACCAAAAGGTTAGCGCCACCCCCATGGACACAGTACAGCCAAGAGCAGAGGCTTTTCCCCACTGGCTTTCTGCTGTGTCCCACAGGACCTACCACATGCAGCTCCCTTGGGTGAGGTCTCAGTTAAAATTTTAAGTAGCCAAGGGAAATAATTATTGAAGAAAATGTCCATCCAGGGATCCCTGGGTGGCGCAGCGGTTTGGCGCCTGCCTTTGGCCCAGGGCGCGATCCTGGAGACTCAGGATCGAATCCCACGTCGGGCTCCCGGTGCATGGAGCCTGCTTCTCCCTCTGCCTGTGTCTCTGCCTCTCTCTCTCTCTCTCTCTCTCTCTCTCTCTGTGTGTGACTATCATAAATAAATAAAAATTAAAAAAAAAAAAAAAAAAAAAAAAAAAAGAAAATGTCCATCCAGTGATCACTATCACCCACTTGTAAAAGTTCAAGTTTTCCTAAAATTGAAATATGCCAAAAATATCTCATACCCCTCATTTAAGTGGCTTTGAGAAAAAGTCTCAGCGCTCCTCAGGATTTACCTGCCAACTTGAATGCAGAAGTCCCCACGAATGGTGCCTGGCTTAGAATCTGCTGGGTTGGTCTCCCCGAGCATCATTCTTCCTGTCTTCACCACATTCAGTCCCTCCCAGACCTGGAAACCAGTAGGGCAAAGGAACCACATAAGATCTGTCATTTGGGACCATTGAGAACAAAGCTTCACCCCTGCCTCAGAATCAAGAGTAATGGCTGACCCGGTTCACCAGCTCACCCCCATAGACCAGAGGAGCTTGGAGATGGTCTGCTCTCCAACCTGAGTGCACTGCTCAGGTACATGGACACCATCTACCCAACATGGGGACTTCCCACCTAAGAGGAAGCTGAATAGGACTGAGGAACCTCAGGCGGCCACAAACAGGAGGAGAAACAGTCAAGGGGTAGAGGAAAGCAAGCAGGTGGGATGGGGTCAGTGGGAAGGACATCAGGCCCTGGGCCGAAGGCGGCACTAAGCCGCTGAGCCACCCAGGCTTCCTTAAACAAAATCTTTAAAATAAAAAAAAAAAATTCAAAAAAAGGAATTTAAAGTAGCTGGGAAAATGTCTAAAAAGAGGACACCCCAGGGATCCTTGGGTGGGATCAGCAGTTTAGCACCACCTTCCACCTTCAGCCCAGGGCATGATCCTGGAGACCTGGGATCAAGTCCCACGTCGGGTTCCTTGCATGGACCCTGCTGCTCCCTCTACCTGTGTCTCTGCCTCTCTCTCTCTGTGTCTCTAATGAGTAAATACATAAAATCTTAAGAAGAAAAAAAAAAAAAAAAGGACACCCCAGCATTGAGCAAGTCGGGTTCTGTAGCAGCCCGCATTTGTGTTCCCCACACTCCTGCCCCACACCCACCCCATCTCCCTGCCCGCCCCCACGAGCACGTGCCATGGCCACAACAGGTCCGGAGTGCATGTACTTCACCAGCCCCGGGTAGAAGGGGCGGTCCTTCAGGTCAATGTAGTGCTGCTTCAGGAGGTCCTCAGAGGCCTGGCATGGAACAGGAGGTCGCAGTTAGGAAGTAAACTGGATAAAGCTGAATTATGGCTCTATCCCATCCTCAGAATCCCCCCCCCCCACCCATTCACAAGGCAGGTTCTCCAAAAATCCAGTTGCGTAAGTTAGCCCACATCTAAGGGGTTCATATATAAATCCTATCCAAGCTCCATGCTCTTTTAGCATAAAGACTGTCCTGATCATGAAGAAACCCTCAAAATGTCCATGGTATTAGGGGTGTTATAATCCTAAAAAGTAGGTGGTGTGAAGATCTAGATGTGGAGGGTTAAGTAAGCGTTGGCTGCCTTTGAAGGAGACGGGTCAGAGAGAGATCATAGCCACTCTCCCGGCCCATCTCCCAGTGTCCTTTCCGACATTTCGGATGTTAACTGGAACGTTCTCCTCTTCCCAGATGGGCTTGGTCAAGATTTCAATAGTTCTCCCTTAAAGTCCAGATCTGTGCCCCAAGCAGAGGGCGGAAATGCCGGGCACTGCCCTAAACCCGGGGAGGAGAGCGGCCGGGGGCGGGGGCGGGGGCCGGCCGGGGGGGGGGGGGGGGAGGAGGCTTGGCCCGCGGGCCCGCGCCCCCGCTCCCCGGCGGCCGACACGTCACCTCCGTTAACCTGGCGAGGGCGCGGGTGCTCGCGGGCCTCGGGGCCGGGCGGGGGCGGCGGGGGCGCGGGGGTCGGTGGGTGGGGGCGCGGGCAGGAGGAGGGGCGCCCGCCGCCCGGGGCCGGGGCCGGGGCCGGGGCCGGGGCGGGGGCGGGGCGGGGGCGGGGGCCGCGTTACCCGCAGGAACTTCATGGCCACGAGGCGGAACCCCTTCTGCTCGAAGCGCTTGACGATGTCGCCCACGAGGCCGCGCTGCACGCCGTCCGGCTTGATGGCGATGAACGTGCGCTCCTGCTGGGCCATGGCCTGCGGGCGACAGGCCGGCTCAGGGCCCCGCGGCCGCGCGGACCCAGGCCCGGGGCTCGCCCCCGCCCCCGGCCCCCGGCCCCCGGCCCCCGCCCCCCGCCCCCCGGGGACGCGCGCCCGCCGGCCGCCCCGTGGGAGGGGGGCTGGTGCCCCGCCGGGAGGCCCGGGGCCGGTGGGGGAGGTCCCGCGGCGCCCTACCGGGAAGCTGGCTGCGCGGCGGGCCGGGAGCGAGACGTGGGGCGAGCGGCGGGGCCCGGGGCGGCCCGGGAGGAGGGCTGCGCGACGGCCACACCCCGGACGCCCGTCGCCCAACCCGCGAGGCCGACGCGGCCCGGGCCGCTGTCCCCGCCCCGGGGGCTCGGGGGCCGGAAGTGGCTTCGTCGCCCGGCCCGGGTGTGGGTCCCGCGGCCGCAGCCCCCGCCGCCGGCCCCAGCTCTCCGCGCGCGCCCCCGCCGCGCCCGCGCACGCGCCCTGTGTGCTCAGGCTCTCCGGCCCCGCGGGGACGCGCCCCTGACAGGATCCCCGGCTGCGGGACCGAAACCGTGCCTGCCCCGAGGGCACACCGCGCCGCGTTCCTCTCCTCGCCGCCGCGGACACCGTCCCGCCGGGCGGAGGCCCCGTGACGGGCCGCCTCGGGACAGCGAGCTGGCGGCGGGAAGCGCACGCCTCCCCGAGGGCGCCGGGCCCTGCGCTGATCACCGGTCGCTGCTGGCCTGAAGGGCGTGGCTACCTCCGTGCCGAGCTCGGCCTCGGCAGCGATGACCGCCCTCCAGGTTCGCTCTCAGCTCGGCGAACGGCGACGGGAACCGACACGACCCCCTCGAGCAACAAGGACTCGCACGGCCGACCCCGAAACACTGACGGATTGGACCGCCCCTGCCCTCATGCAGGTACCCACTGACCTCTGCCCCACACTTTCCTTCTAGAGGACTGGAGGTTGGGGCGCCTGGGTGGCTCAGGCCTTAAGCGTCCGCCTTCAGCTCAGGTCATGACCGCAGGGTCCCGGGACGCAGCCCCGCATCCTGCTCCCTGCTTGGTGGGGAGCCTGCCTCCCCCTCTGTGCCTGCCACTCCCCCCGCTTGTGCTGTCAAATAAATAGAGTCTTTAAAAAATAATAATAATAATAACAGTATTTTCAGCGCTTGAGAGCTGGTCTTTCAGACGTTGGTCCAGCCCTCCTAGTGTTGGCCTCCCTGAAAAACATTTTCTTCCACGTGACCACACCTTTCAGTTTTGTCAGCCTGGAGCGATGGAACCTGCTCTCTGTGGGCCCCCTGGACCCAGGTGTCCTTGCACCCCTGCACCCTGGCTGCAAGAGGACAAGCCAGCCCGGTATTACACCGTGACTTCCCAATTTCTAGTCGCAGGGCATTAAGTCACAAGCCTGGGGGACCCCGGGGGGCTCGTTTGGGGAAACGTCTGGCTTTGGCTTGGGTCATGATCTCTGGGCCCTGGGATGGAGCCTTTATCGGGCTCCCTGCTCAAATGGGGCATCAGCTTCTCCCTCTTCCTCTCCTCCCTGCTCGTGCTCGCTCTCTATCTCAGATAAATAAATCTTAAAAAAAAATAAATAAAAGACACAATACACTCTGGGGAAGAGACAGCCAGTGTTCCCTTGGGCTTCCAGGTGAAGCACTGGAATTTGGACTTCCTTCTCAGTTACCCAGTGTCAACTGTGGGAAAGAATCTGGGAATTTCACTGCAGAGAGCTGTTTGCCCCTTTGGTCCCGTCATCACAGGTCCTGCAGTACAGTGAGCAGCAGCCTTCTGCCCTTTGCTTTCCTCCTCCTTCCTGGAGGGCACTTAACTGAGCAGGGTATTACCCTGCTGCCTCACCACACACGAATCCCTTCCCTGAAGGTACTGGTACTTTACCTCACTCCCCTCACCAAAAACAGGCCATGCTTTGTATGAGATAGAAATGCATCTAGTCCTCAACTGTGTGGAAGTCCTAGCTCCCATGGAGGAAATTCTTTCACAAAGTCTACATATGTCAACTGTCACTGCACACTTCAAATAATCTTACAATTTCGTCAGGTACACCCCAGAGAAGCTGGAAAAACAACGTCTCCCAACTCCCCTCCTCTCTACTGCCCCTACCAAAGCCAGGTGAACAGGGAAAATACCAAGAAACACTAACGTCTGAGGCCAAAGTAATTGTCCATATGTATTCTCACCTTCCCCCTTCTAGGAGAGCTCCTGAGTATTCTCTGGGCATAAGGTTGCGCAAATAAAAATACTTTCCACTCTTGCAGCAAGAGACTTGCACACGAAGTTCTGGCCAATGAGATGGGTGGAGAGCGAAGGTGGTACAGGGTTACACCTTCTTTTAAGGGTTCCTTAAAAGAAAGGAACAATCTACTTCCCTTCCCAACTTGCCATTAGGCACACATACAGGTGGTAAGGCATGTTACATTGCTGAGAAGGAAATGGGTCCCCAAACTCAAGGATCAGAATCTCACTGCCATCACCACCCCTACATACCTACTTAAGACTTTTTTGCAGCTTTATTGAGGTATAACTGGCAAATAAAACTTGTTATTTAAGGTATACAACCTGATATTTTAATTTACGTATGTTGTAAAATGATCACACTTAAGCTAAGGAACATATCACTTCATATAGTTACCATTTTGTGTGTGGTGAGTACACTTAAGATCTACCCTTAGGGACGCTTGGGTGGCTCAGTGGTTGATCCGCTGCCTTTGGCTTGGGGCATGATCCTGGGGTCCTGGAATTGAGTCCCACATCAGGCTCCCCATAGGAAGCCGGCTTCTCCCTCTACCTATGTCTCTGTGTCTCTCATGAATAAATAAATAAAAACTTTTAGCAAATTTCAAGTACACAATACAATATTGTGAACTATAAACACAGTGCTGTACATTAGATTTCTAGTTTAGACTTTTAAATAAAAGATAAGTAAATTTCCATCTTTCTTGCTTCTGTTAAAGCAACCAAATCAGTGCCCTAACAAATCAAAGCTACTCCCACGATTTCACCTGCTTCTTCTGAGGTCATCCCAGGGACCCAGGCATACTATCCTGTTTTGGAATAGTTACAAGTTCTCACACTCCCCCATCCACAGAGTCCCTGACAGCTTCTCAAGACCAGGAAGGATATCTTTTATTTCCAATGAATCCTCTGCACCCAGTTACAGTCTTGGTAACCTAGACCATCTTTCCTGGATGAATGCTGACTGGCTCAGTGGCAAAAGTGGATGGGATGCAGGGGTGAAGAGAGGGACAGGCAAACAGAGAGAGACAGAAAGAGACTATGTATGTGTGATCTCAGGCCAATAAAAATAATTTACATAGTATTTACATTCTCTGTTAGTTCAGGTTAGCCAGAGTAAATGGATAAGAATACAAAATACAAAGCAATAGAGCAATACAAAGAAATCAACTCAATGAATCTTACAATGGGATGAAACATTTTAATCTGATGGCAGCCCATAATACTGTACGGGAAGCACTCCCAGCTCCAAGAGGTCCCCTCCAGGTTATAAGGAAGTTCTCAAAAATCACTGGATTTGCAAGAGCCTGGCCCCTTGCTCATGGGAGGGAAAGGGAATGGAATGGGCAAAGCGCTGAGGTCTGCTCCCTCATCACTCGTCACTCATAAATCCAGTTCTGAGCACAGCTCTTGTAATCCACCAGCTCTTCAGGCTGGAACCACAAGCCAATCTCCTTCTCCGCACTCTCCACAGAATCGCTGCCATGGATAATGTTCCTGGACAGGGAAAGAGATGGCCAGGTTACCAAGACTCAAAGCATTAAACTGCCCAGAAGCCCCCCTCATTCCCACTGCCAGAAAGCTTACAGCCCCTGCAGCAGAAAAAGCCAAAGCTCCCTGTACATGAGTCCACATTAAAAGAAAAAGCCCACAACTGCAGTTAAAACTGGTAAGGATGAAAAATGTCCTGCCTGCACTCCAGTCGCCAGAGGACTCTGGCCAACAAAGCGTGGTACCAGTTCTACCCTCTCAAGACAGGCACAGCCACAATGGTGCCGACGGCCAATGGCAGAGAGCTCACTAACCCAAAGCCAATTTCAGAGGGGAAAAAAACAATGAACTAATGTTAAACTGATGTGCATACGGTATCATGTCCATCCCAATCTCAGGAACCCAAATCTCTTTTTTTAACATTTTTTAAAAAGTAACCTCTAGGGGCACCTGGGTGGCTCAGTGGTTGAGCATCTGCCTTTGGCTGGGGTCAAGGTCCTAGGATCAAATCCCACATCAGGCTCCCCATAGGGAGCCTGCTGATCCCTCTACCTATGTCTCTGCTTCTCTGTGTCTCTCATGAATAAAAAAATAAAATCTTAAAAAAAAAAAAAAATAGGGACGCCTGGGTGGCTCAGCAGTTGATTGTCTGCCTTCGGCCCAGGGCATGATCCTGGAGTCCCGGGATCAAGTCCCACATCGGGCTCCCCATGGGGAGGCCTGCTTCTCCCTCTGCCTATGTCTCTGCCTCTCCCTCTATGTCTCTCATGAATAAATAAATAAAATCTTTATAAATAAATGAATGAATGAATGAATGAATGAATGAATGAAATAAAGTTAAAGTAATCTCTCCACCCAAAATGAGGCTCGAACTTATAACCCCAAGATCAACAGTCACATGCTCAACCAACTGAAGCAGCCAGGTGCCCAAGGAACCCAAATTCTTGTGTCACCTCAGATTTTGGAAAAGGGCAAAAAGCACCAACTCCCACCTGCCAACTTGGATGCAAAAGTCCCCACGGATGGTCCCAGGTTTGGAGTCCGCCGGGTTGGTCTCCCCGAGCATCACTCGGCCTGTCTTCACCACATTCAGGCCCTCCCACACCTCCAAGGATAAAAAATATATGGTCAAGGAAGAAAACCAATCTCAGCAGAAAATCTGTAAACTATTAATTCAAAGAAAACAAAAAGCCCCCTTAACATTGAAGAATAGTTACAGAGCATCCACTTGTTCCAAACTGGAAGTACTCATCTCTCTGCCCCAACTCCTGCTTTTCTACAATCCATTCTTGACAAAGCAGCCAGAGCAGCCTTTTATAAATGCCTACTGTAGGACCTCCCATAGCATCCGTCCTGGAGCTCATGAAGTACATAGCCAGCACAGTCCTGCCTACTCTGGCCCGGGCCTGTGCCTCTGGACTCCTGTTACCTGACCTTCTCTTTTACCCACCAGGCTCTAGCTACTCCAACCTTCTTTCTGGACTTCAAAAAGTCCAGGCCCTTTGCACATGCTGTTTTCTTGATGAGAGTGCTCTTCAACATGATGTTATGTATGTCTGGTTCCCTCTTCTCACTCTAATCTCAGATTGAAAAGCATGTTCCTTGACTACCCGATCTAAAGTGGCCACCTCATCCTTTTTCATTTCCGTGCATATCACTAATTGCCAGCTTTTATATATATATATATATATATATATATATATATTATACACACACACACACATACACACACATATTTTTATTTCTTCATGATCTGCCCATCTTCCCCTGTCAAGATGTGTAGGCAAGCAAAGCTATGAAAAAAAGTACCTATTTTGTCTTCATTCTGGACTGTATCCCCAGTGTCTGGAACAAAGCCTGGCACAATGAGGACAACTAGTACATACTTGGAGAATTTCTGCAATAAGCTAGAAACAATCTCCCTGCTCTCCAGAAGTATAGTGACCTCTCCCAATTGCTCCCAGCTATGAGTCACTATGAGTCTTCAGTTTAACAAACAGATATATGTTGCCTTTGGTGGGTCAGAGAGCCAACTCACACCTTAACTGCCCAATCCTCCCAGCCCCTATTTCGTCTGTATCAATAAGGACCTGGCATCAGATGCAGGAATCACAAGCCTGACTCTTGGCTCCCAGCGGGGTCATCCGATCAATATCCCATATGTGCACACTCACCATGGCAACCACAGGCCCTGACTGCATGTACTTCACCAGGCCGGCAAAGAATGGACGGTCCTTCAGGTCAATATAGTGCTCCTTGAGAAGGTCTTCAGAAGCCTAATCAACAGGGCAGAGAATGAGAATTGGCCCCCTAATGACCTAAGAACCAGCAATCTAGTCATTTCCCACTGCTGTCTAAACTGTGAGCCTTGGCTCACTGACTGTTAAAACCCAATCCAGTCCCAACATGACTGGAGGGAAGCAGTGCCAAGAGACTAAAAGTGCTTAAGCTTTATATCAATTCCTCCCTCACTGGCCTTGATTGATTGGAATACCACAGAACCTTAGAATCAAATCCAGCCATCCCATTTTAGACAGTAAAACTAACAACATGATGACTTTCCATTCATTGAGAGCAAGCCTCAACTAAAATATTAGCGGAAAGGGGGTGGGAGGGCAGCCCTTGGCATTCGATGAGAAGTAAATTGAACCCAGCCACTTCCCAGGACCACTTCACATTTCTTCAGATGATGCAGGCCAGGGACCGGGTGTGGCAATTACGCAATTCCCACAAGTATTTTACAAATCACTCCAAAGTACATGACATCTAGCAATAAATAATTTTGCAGAAGAAGGAATGAGAAACTCTCACATTGCAAGGCTGGTATGTGGGAACAAATCAAGTTAGCTAGAGAGCAAACCAGCTGCTTGGCAATTCCAACTACCTCGGCTGTGCTCTTTGCCACTGCGCACAGGGCCTGTTCAGGGTCTAACAAGGACTCAGTTTTTCCAGTTCTATAGTACTGCACACTGCAGGGAGACCCACACATGGGCAGATCTGCTGCCAGAAAGCATATCCAAATCATCCTACCATTCAGCCTCTTGTTGATCGTTACTTGCCAAAGTAAAATGACACTGCCACATGACCAGCCGTGTTAGCAATTCCTCTCCCATCCCCTCCAATCCCCCTGGAAGACTACTAGGGGCAGTCTCCTGACACACACTGACTTGACCTTCCCTTCCCCGAACACTGTTTTAATTCTACTAATTGGTTCTGGTTATCTTTAATCTGCAGAACAGATTACAGGGGTTTTTTCAGAGGGGCGACATCAAGTTTCCCCTCTCCACCCTTCTCCATGTCAGATATAAACAACTCTGTAGGCTCCTGGCAGCTGTCCATCTTCATCAAGCCCATATCCTTGATAGGAAACTGAGTGTAGTGGAAAAAAATGCATGCACTTAGGGGTCAGAGAGACCAGAGTTAAAATCCCTGTTCCATCACTATGTGCCTTCAGATACATTACTTAACCTCTCCAAGCCCCAGGTTCCTCATAACTGACAACCATAGGCATAGAAATAAGTACGTCTCTGGGTTGTCATGCGAGCCAGAAAAAACGCATGTCCAGCACACGGTAAATGCCCAATCAACAATACTTTCTAATTTCACTTTGCCGGGACGCTTGGGTGGCTTAGTGGTCGAGCGTCTGCCTTTGGCTCAGGCCGTGAATAAATAAAATATTTTTTAAAAAAAATTCACTTTGCCTTGAAAACCTAATTTAATATACAAACTCTCTGGAAAGCCATATTTGTCTAACACCTGGCACTAATCATTCCATGATATACCCCCCTGCATTAACATCCATCTACTCCCTTTTATACTAAAGCAGTTTTCCTAAAACATCACACAGGAACTAAATTGCAAATCAAACTAAATTTAAAATACACTAGCAGACTCCAAAGATGACTATTGGGGCACCTGGGGGGCTCAGTCATGAAGCATCTGCTCAGCTCAGGTCATGACTCTAGGGTCCTGGGATCAAGCCCCTGCTCAGCGGGGCTCCCTGCTCAGCGGGGAATCTGAGTATCTCCAACTCCCCACCCCCTGCTCTTGCTCACTCTCTCTCTCTCTCAAATGAATAAAATCTTAAAAAATTAAAATTAAAAAAAAAAAAGATGACTCTATAAATAGGGGAAAAAGACCATTCTCTAATTTATAGGCTTTGAGAATCTGAATTCTCATTTCCCAGGTCTGTCTGAAAAAGGGTTCTTGACTAATTAATCCTTTTCATTTCGGGGGGTTTGCGAGGTTTTAAAAAAATTTTCTTAAAGATGTATTTATTTGAGAGAGAGAGAGAGAGAGAAATGAGCAAGAGGAGCAGAGGGAGAGGGAGAGACAATCTCAAGCAGACTCCTTGCTGTGGGCAGCCTGACATGGGACTCAGTCTCATGACCCTGAGATACCTAAGCCGAACCCAAGAGTCTGACGCTTAAGAGACTGTGCCACTCAGGTGCCCCCTCCTTTTCATTTTTTGAAATACTGCTTTATAGGTTTCTTCCAAGTGCCATTTCTCTCTGCTGTTTTCAAGTGGGCCTTCCAAAGGACAAAACCACAGCTTTCCCACAACATGCCCTAATGGTGCCTAATATTATGCTAGACACGAAGTGGGTGGTAAATAAGGATGGAAAAATCTCCTTGCTGACAATCAACGTGCCTGACTCTAAAGAGAGGAATGGAGGAAGGGGAATTTCTCTGAAATTATCTGCTCAGGAAGCTCAAGACTGGGAGCTCAAACACGCCCAGGGCTCTGAGTCAGAAATCACAGTGTTCTCCTGAAACCAAAATTGCATGTATGTTACCTAACCAGAATTTAAATAAAAATCTGAAGAAAAAAATAAAATAAAATAAAAATTTAGGAAAGAAAGGGGGACGCCTGGGTGGCTCAGCGGTTGAGCGGTTGCTTCTGGCTAAGGTCATGATCCTGGGGTCCTGGGATCAAGTCCAGTATTTGGCTCCCTGCAAGGGAACCTGCTTCTCCCTCTGCCTCTGCCTCTCTCATGAATAAATTAAAATCTTTGAAAAAAGCGGGGGCAGGGGCGCCTGGCTGGCTCAGTCAGTGGAGCCTATGACTCTTGATCTCAGAGTTGAGTTTGAGCCCCACATTGCTGTGGAGATTGCTTAAAAATAAAGGAAAGAAAGAAGAAATCACAGTGCTGCAGTAGTAATATGTGGAACTCTGCACTGCTAAGGGTAAGGGGAGGCTATTCCCAGAAGTCCCAGAAACTGGGTTTGTGGTAGGACTCAGCCACAGTGCTAGCCACCAGTGAGTTTCCAGCTTTCAGGATGCTTGTGTTCACCCTACATGAAGAAGGCTAAAGAGGAGGGGAGGGGAGAACAGGGAGGCTAACCTACAATGATCCCTTGTACTCCAAGAAAACAGAAATATGAAGAGTGAAGTCCACTTACCTGGATTAATTTCATAGCAATGAGGCGGAATCCCTTTTGCTCGAAACGCTTGATGATCTCTCCCACGAGGCTGCGCTGGACTCCATCAGGCTTGATGGCAATGAAGGTGCGTTCGCTGTTGGCCATGGTCCTGAGGATAAACAGCTGGGAGGATGAAACAGCACGGAATATCCTGCCTACATCATTATCCATCGCAAGCCGATTACCCCATAAAGCTGGTTTAAATCTGTCATGCCAACTCCAAGTCTCTCAGGTAAAAACCCAATGCCTAGTGTGCTCACCACACTGTGCTACTTTTAAAGCAACTTTAAAGATATATGTATACACAATGTTCCTACAGTGCTAGTCCTATATACCAGTAAGAACAGTGTGCTAAAGGGGCACGAGGGCAGCTCAGTCGATTGAGTGTCCAACTCTTGATTTCAGCCTGGGTCATGATCTCAGGGTCAGGGGACTGAGCCTCACATTGAGAGCCTCAGAGAGCAGTCTGCTTCAGATTCTTTCTCCCCTCCCCCTCTGCTCCTCCCTGCTCATGCTCGCATGCTCTCTAAAATAAATTAACAAAATCTTAGAAAAAAGAATAGTGTGCTATTGCAGTGTACGAATGTATTCATTACAAGGTGCTATACGGACAAAACTCTGGAATAGCCCGTGTGTAAAAAAATGTTCCTAAGGGGGGAAAAAATTTTTCCCTAAGCAAAAACAAAACCCCAATTCCTTCTCAGTCCCCTTATTCCTGAACTAATATCCCAGGGTGGGCAAGGGTCCAAAAGCAGGGGCTATTTTTTCTATCCCATTTGACTTAAAAGCTTCTATTAACCTGTACTGTGGCATAACTAAGGTAGTGGATGTTTAAAAAAAAAAAAAAAGAAAAGAAAAGAAAAGAAAAGAAAAGATATTGTCCTTCTGATTTATCCAGAGAAGAAACTACAGTGATAAAGTGGTGTCAGGTCCAAGGCAGAATGAAATACAGTCTAACCCACTGCCACAGTCATGGTATTAGAACTGGGAGGGGTTTTGGAGATTATTTCATTACAATCGCCCTCATTTTAAAACAAGAAAACAAATCTAGAGCACCAAAATGAGGGCAAAAAAATCTGGATTTCCCAACCGGATACAATTTATGCTACATCATAAGACACACCAGAGAAAGGTGGATGGTGGAAGAACTAGAGCCATTAGTAGTATCTTAGCTGGGACATCACGCAGGAACGAGTCTGCCTAGAGAATGTCAATCTCGTATCTTGCCTTTTACAGAGAAAACTGGGCTCAAGACTTGCTCTGCCTTCACAAGAAGGGAAGGAGGAGACCCCTGACCTTGAAGGTCAATCCCTAATGAGGACAGCCACACCACCTCCTGGCTCTATCTTCCTGTAGGTTAGTTAAGCTCTTATTATGACACCTTAATATATTTTAATTTCTGGAAGGCCTGGGTGTTTCAGTGGTTGAACCTTTGGCTCAGGTCTTGTTTCCGGGGTCCTGGGATCAGAGTCCCCAATCGGGCTCCCCACAGGGAGCCTGCTTCTCCCTCTGCCTAGGTCTCTGCCTTCCTGTATGTCTCTCATGAGTAAGTAAAATCTTTAAAAATACATATATATTATCTTTAGTTTGTGTCCCCCCCCCCCCCCACACACACACACTGGTCTGCGGCCTGTATACGGGGATGGTTTGCTCCTGCGTCTGTCCCTGGTACCTAGCCACATGATCTCGCATTCGGTAAGAGCAAAGAAAAGGTCTTAAGGGGGATCCCTGGGTGGCTCAGTGGTTGAGCGCCTGCCTTTGGCCCAGGGCTGATCCTGGAGTCCCAGGATCGAGTCCCACATCAGGCTCCCTACGCGGAGCCTGCTTCTCTCTCTGCCTGTGTCTCTGCCTCTCTGTGTGTGTGTGTGTGTCTCTCATGAATAAATAAATAAAATATCTTAAAAAAAAAGACAAGGTCTTAAGTGGTAACCGCGCTGCCCCTCCAAGAAAAAGAGACAAAGCCCAAGGACTGCCGGAGAAATCCCAATGGAAGCTGCGGACCAGTATGGATTCCCCAGGAGAAAATGGGGCTACCGAGCCACAAACGGTCCCCATACCCATCCCATTTATACCCATAAACGTGCTCCATTCCAACCCAAGCACACACACGTCACTCACTCACTCACTCACTCACTCATTCATTCATTCATTCAGCAAGCACTTACAGAACCCCAACCCCGTGCCCAGCTCTGCGTGCGCTGGAGGCAGACAGGGCACCACCCGGCGGACGTGGCCTGCTGGCAAAGGCAGCCACGTGGGGCGGGACTGCGCGGCCGGGTCTGCACCTGTCCGCGGGCGCTGCCGCCCTTCCCTCCCATCCGATCCCTCGCGCCACCGCCCGGAGCAACACTCAGCCCACCCCACCGCCGCCCCCCTCTCCCGACCCCAGCACTCTCCCCTTCTTCTCAAGACCCCAGAGCCTCTCACCTTTCCAGCTGCTACCGCCGCAACTCCTCCTGGCGCCGCCGGCACCGGAAACACGCCCCGGCCCCACGTGGTTCCTGGCACCTACCGGCGCGGAACGCTTCTTTCCGGATCGGCTGCCGGGGAGCCCGTTCTGCAGAACACCCCTGGGCCAGCCACGCTTCCCGCTTCCTCTCGGGAGTCGGATGTCATTCTAGTGAGCAACATTCCTAGGCTTAACTTCCGGCACCTTTCCTTGTTCTTCCGGCTCTCTGCCCTTTTCTCCCCCCGCCCCCGCCCCGTAAGACTGTCTGACTCACTTCCTCCATTCTCCAGTAAGTTGACTTCCCGAGAGGTGGCGCTCCCACTTTGCCTGAAGTCCGGACGGGCACCTGACCTGGAAGTAGACCGGTCGTTCTCACTTTACAGTTACTCATTCTTTCCAGCCTAGCAAGCGCTGCATTCGTAATTGAGCACCTGCTGTGTGCCGGGCGCCATTGCGGGGCCCGAGGGGACAGCAGTGAACGCGCCTGGAGACTGTGGTGGGGTCGGGAATGGGGACCAAGAGTAACCGAGCAGCGTGGTAGAGAGTACGGGGCGCGACGTTCGTGCCGCCCGGAAAGGCAGGCAAGCGGCGCCTGCGTGGCTCGGGCTGAGCGCCCGCCCTCGGCTCAGGGCGTGGTCCTGGGTCCTGGGATCGAGTCCTTCTCCCTCTGCCCCACTCTCTGCCTCTCTCTCTGTGTCTGTCATGGATAAATAAATAAAATCTTGAAAGAAAAGAAAAAAGAAAAGAAAAGAAAAAAGAAAAGAAGGAAGGAAGGAAGGAAAGGAAGGAAAGAAAGAAAAAGAAAGAAAGAAAGAAAGAAAGAAAGAAAGAAAGAAAAGAAGAAAGAAAGAAAGAAAGAAAGAAAGAAAGAAAGAAAGAAAGAAAGAAAGAAAGAAAGAAAGAAAGAAAGAAGCACGGCAAGGGAGAAAGACTGAAAGCAGTAAGCAGTTTTAAAAGCTTGGCTGGGAAAAAAAATGGATCTCAGAAAGTGACAATGGACTAGACCTGCATGCAGCGAGGGAGCAAGTCTGGTGACTATCTGCGGAATATTACTACAGTGGGCATCCAGGGGCAGGAAATGACATCGGAGAGAGGCCGGGTTACGTTGCGGTGCCACGGGAAGGTTTTGAACAGGGAGTGACATCATCTGATACATGTAAAAAAAAAAAAAAAAAGATCACACCGACTGCCATAGGATAAGGGCTAAGGCACGAAGAGGAATCAGGTGTCTTTTCAACAGCTGGTCCTGCGACTCTGGACTGGCTCAGTCTGTACAGTTGGAAAGTCCTGATCTTGAGGTTGTGAGTCTGAGCCCTAGGCTACGTGTAGAGGTTACTTAAAATTATATATATATATAATTATATACATACTGCTGAAGGAATTGGACATATGCAAGCAAAGAAAAAAGGAAAGAACATCTACCTACACCTCCACCTTAAACAAAGATTCTTTCAAAATGGATCATAGGGGATCCCTGGGTGGCGCAGCGGTTTGGCGCCTGCCTTCAGCCCAGGGCGCGATCCTGGAGACCCGGGATGGAGTCCCGCGTCGGGCTCCCGGTGCATGGAGCCTGCTTCTCCCTCTGCCTATGACTCGGCCTCTCTCTCTGTGTCTCTCATGAATAAATAAATAAATAAAATCTTAAAAAACAAAACAAATGGATCATAAAGGGGCACTTTGGCGGCTCAGTTGGTTAAGCATCCTACTCATGATTTGGGTCAGGTCCTGATCTTTCGTGAAATCCAGCCCACTGTGGGGGCTCTGCCTCTGCTTCTGCCATCCCCTGACTCCTGCACAAGCTCTCTCTCTCAAATGAATAAATTTCTAAAAAATGGATCACAGATTTAAATGTAAAACTATAAAAAGTTTAGGAAAAACATGGTAAAAAAAAATCTTCAGGGACATCTGGGTGGCTCAGTGGTAGAGCATCTGCCTTTGGCCCAGAGTGTGATTCCGGATTCCCAGGATTGAGTCCCACGTCGGGCTCCCTGCATGGAGCCTGCTTCTCCCTCTGCCTGTGTCTCTGCCTCTCTCTCTCTCTCTCTCTCTCTGTCTCTCATGAATAAATAAATAAAATTAAAAAAAAAAAAAAACTTCAGGACTTAGAGCCAGCCAAAGAGTTTTTAGACTTGGCACCAAAAGCACAATCCATAAAATGAAAAGGTTGGTATATTGGACCCTAACAAAAATAAAAACATTTTCCCTTTGAAAGACCCTGAGAAGAGGATAAAAAAAACAAGCTGCAGGGTAAAAGAAAATATTTGCAAGCCATGTATCCAATACAGGCCTTGTATATAGAACACATAAAGAATTTTCACAACTCAACAGTTTAAAAAAATCCAATTAGAAAAAGAACAAAAGAGGGGTGCCTAGGTGACTCAATTGGTTAAGTATCTGCCTTCAGCTCAGATCATGATCCCAGAGTCCTGGGATCAAGCCTGAGTCTGGCTCCCTGCTCAGTGGGAAGCCTTCTTCTCTCTCTCCTGCAACTCCCTGTTCTTGTGCTCTATCACATGCTCTCATACACTCTCTCTCTCAAATAAACAAAATCTGAAAGAAAGAAAAGAAAGAAGAAAGAAAGAAAGAAAGAAAGAAAGAAAGAAAGAAAGAAAGAAAGAAAGAAAGAAAAAAAAGAAAGAAAAGAAAATGAACAAAAGGCAAAAACAGACTACACTGAAAGGGATTTACAGGTAGCAAATAAATATATGAAGAGTTTCTCGACATCATTAGCCATTAGGGAAATGCAATTAAAAAAAAAAGATTGTATTTATTCATGAGAGACACTCAAAGAGAGAGGCAGAGACACGGGCAGAGGCAGAAGCAGGATCCCCATGGGGAACTTGATGCGGGACTCATCCCAAGACCCTAGGATCATGCCATGAGCTGAAGGAAGACGCTGAACCACTGAGCCACCCAGATGTCCCGGGAAATGCAAATTAAAACCACAATGAGGTAGCACTACACACCTATCTTAATGCTTTAAAAAGAAAAAAAGAGCACCCCACTAGTTCAATGGGTAGAGCATGGGAGTCTTGATCTCACTCTAGTGAGGTTGTAAGTTTGAGCCCCATGTTGGATGTAGAGTTTACTTTTAAAAGGAGGAAAAAGGGGCTCCTGGGTGGCTTAGTGGGTTGAACATCCAACTCTTGATTTCAGCTCAGGTCTTGATCTCAGGGTCCTGAGTTTACACCCCATGTTGCGCTCCAGGTTGGGCTCCATGCTGGGCGTTGAGCCTGCTTAAAAAAAAAAAAAAAAAAAAAAAAAAGGAAAAAAATAGTGACAGTGCTGTTGAAGAGGTAGAGAAACTAGATCCCCTCATACATCGCTGGTGGGAATGTAAAATGGTATAGGCCTTCAGGAAAAGTTTGCCAGTTTCTTATAAAACTAACCAGGCGCTTCCCATATGACCTGACAATTGCTCTCATGGGTGTCTATTCCAGAGAAATTAAAGATTTATGTTCTTTTCACACAAAAACCGGCATACAAATGTCCTTAGCAGCTTTATTTGTAATAGCCAAAAACTGGAAACAGGGACGCCTGGGTGGCTCAGTGGTTGAGTGCCTCCCTTCGGCCCAGAGCCTGATCCAGAGTCCCAGGATCATGTCCCACATTAGGCTCCCTGTATGGAAACTTCCTCTCCATCTGCCTGTGTCTCTGCCTCTCTCTCTGTGTGTCTCTCGTGAATAAATAAATAAAATATTTTTTAAAAACTGGAAACAACTCAAATGTCCATCAAATGAAAGCTTAAACAAACTAGTCTCTATCCATCTGTACCATGGAACATTACTCAATAATAAAAGAATGGGACACCTGGATGGCTCAGCAGTTGAGCATCTGCCTTGGGCCCGGAGCATGATCCTGGAGTTCCCACATCAAGTCCCGCGTCGGGCTCCCTGCATGGAGCCTGTTTCTCCATCTGTCTGTGTCTCTGCCTCTCTCTCTCTCTCTCATTCTCTCTCTCATGAATAAATAAATAAATAAAATCTTGAAAAATAAAAAAATAATAATAAAGGAAGAGAGGCGCCTGGGTAGCTCAGTTGGTTAAGCACCTGCCTTCAGGTCAGGTCATGATCCCAGGGTCCTGGGATCAAACCCCAGAGCCCCAAGTCAGGCTGTCTGCTTATCATGGAGCCTGTCTCTCTCTCTCCCACCACCTGCTGCTCCCCCTGCTTGTGCTCTCTCCATCAAATAAATAAATAAATAAAATCTTTTAAAAATAATAATAAAAGAAGAAGAAATAAGCTATTGACACACAACAACTTGGATAGATCTCAAGAGAGATTATACATTATTGCATTTGTATAAAGTTCTTGAATTCACAGAATTTTAAAGATAGAGGACACATTAGGAGTGTTCAGGAGTTTGGGATGGGGGAGAGGGCATGGGGTATTCCTAAAGGGGTAGTAAGAGGGAGCCTTGGAGTGATGGACTACTTCTGTATCTTGATTGTGGTGACAGTTACATGAATCTACACATGTGATAAAGCTGCATAGAATTATACATACACACAAATTAGTGCTTGTAAAACTGATGAAATCTGAATAAACTCTGCAGACTATACTAATGTCAATTTCCTGATTTGATATTGTTCTGTAGTTATGCAAGATGTTACCATTAGAGGACACTGGGTTAAGGATACATGCGACTTCCTTGTACCTTTTTTTTTTTTTTTTGCAACTTCCTATAAATCTTTTCTTTTCTTTTAAGTGAGCTCTATGCCCAACCTGGGGCTTGAACTCATGACCTTGAGATCAAGAGTCGCATGCTGCACTGACTGAGCCAGCTAAGCATCCTCCAACTTCCCATAAATCTATTAAGTATTTCAAAATTTAAAAAATTTTAAAAGGAAAAAAAAATTTAAAAGGGATGCCTGGCTGGCTTAGCCAGAAGAATGTGCAACTCTTGATCTTGGAGTGGTAAATTCAAGCCCCATGTTGGGTGTACAGATTATTTAAAAATAAGAGCTTGGGGATCCCTGGGTGACTCAACAGTTTAGCACCTGCCTTTGGCCCAGGGAGTATCCTGGAGTCCCGGGATCAAGTCCTGCACCGGGCTCCCTGCATGGAGCCTGCTTCTCTCTCTGCCTGTGTCTCTGCCTCTCTCTGTGTGTGTCTCTCATGAATAAAT